TACCTAAACCCCAAAAGTAGGTAGAATAGTGGCCCGAAACCCAGAAAAGGCTATTATTCTACATATTTTTTGGGGTCCAGGTAGAGGGGAACCAAACAGCTCCCACAGCGACGTCAAGCACTCCTTCGGTCAGGCCGAAGCGGGTGATGCACCAAGGACGGATGAGCTTACCCAGAGAACCCAATACCCCTTTAGTTAAGGAATATACCTTAAATTCTAGGGGCCCTAGTATTATGATTTAAGGTCTATTCCTTAATTAAGGGGTATTGGGTTCACCTTGGGTGTGGGGGCCCTAATATTATGATTTAAGGTATATTCCTTAATTAAGGGGTATTGGGTTCTCTGGGTAGGATGCTTTAGGGAGTCCTAGGACCATCTGGCCGTTCAGCGGGATGACAAGGCTCCTTCGGGTTGTGTGCATTTCGGTGTTGCACTGACTTCAATGCCCAAAGGTACTAATATGGTAGATACTTTGGGGCCCAAAATACCTACTATATGGGTACTTAGACCCTGTGGGAATGGGTCAGGAGTGCAGACCGCACATGTTTCGGAGGGTTCAGAGAGAGGTGCAGGGTGCCCGGCGTCGGGTCAACCCATGCCAGGCTATTTAGGGTTTCCGAAAATACGGGGTACCTTATTTTTGGGTCCTTATAATACGGATCCTATTATTTAGGGTACTATATTAAGGTCCCCTATTTTCGGGAACCTCCATTTTGCTTCTTGGGACTGTAAGTAGCTTAGGCTTTAAGTACCGGACGGACAAGTAAGGTGAAGCGAAGTTGTAACAGCCTGGAGTGCATCCCAAAAAGCCCTGACCTGAACCACACTGCGGGAGGTCCGCAGCATTGAATCTGTGTAAACTTTTCCTTACCCCGTTCCACAGACTACTCACAACCTCAAGACACCAGAGCAGCACTTGTGGTCAGGTTTGCGTTCCTGCCGGAGCTGTCCCTGAGTCAGGACCGGTGTCTATTCCATGGGTTTCACTTACTTGTTGTCAAGGGTGTACCAAAACGGAATTGCATTGATAGACACACTGAAAAATAGTCTCCTACAATTATTCTTACGGCTCCTGTCTGCAACACTGCCTAAACAGTTCGACCAAAATCACTGGCAAAGCCTTGCAGTCCAATCACAAGAATCGCTGAAGCGGTCAACACCAAAATTGATGTTCAATGTAGATAGTTCAGCGCTTAGGATGTGGAGTCTAGAGTTCACGGCTCTTCATCCGGAGTTGTCGTGTCTTCGATTTCGCTGTCGGAAGCTCCCGTTGCCAGAGTGCCACTTTTTAGCTGCGATCCGACAGGCGCTGAAGGAACGGGCCGACTCCTTTCTGGCTATGCAGACTGAGGCCGTGGGTTTGCGGCTTATGGTGTTCATGTCGGCATCAAGAGTTGTTGGAAGGGTTCATCTAATTAAGGGCTTAGGGGTTTAGGGTTTAAGACAGTTTACTGTGCTTGGAGAGAGCTCCGGGTTCAAAACAAAGACAGTTTACGGTTTCCGAGCCAGCAGTCACTAGACGGGTGGGAGAAGGTTACTAAATGGGGCCAGCGAGAGACGCCCGGGCAGGGTTAAAAAAGCATTTTCCACAGAAAGGATCCAATACCATGTTTATAAGGCCCGCTTATCCAAAAGTGTTGTGCGAGCCTTTCTGACAAATTTGGCTTTGGAAAACCTTCAATGTTCAGTGTAGTCCAAGGCAATGGCAGAGAGGGGACGTTCATTTCGTAACGTGTGATCATGAGTTCCAAACATATGCAAGCTTGACGTCACATCATGGCGTTGCGCTTGATCATGTCGCAGCTCAAGTGCTTAGTTGACGTCTGACTCTTCAAGCGCGGCAGGGCTGATGCAAGTTCACGGTCCGTGTTATTTTTTTGGGGGGGTTCCTTATTATATTTGTAGTACAACATACCTCAAAACCCTAATCCACTTATTAAGGCCCTTATATTAGCCTTTAACCTGCTACCCAAGAGCTTGCTGCGTCAGTGTTCCTTGCATGACGGCCACTGGACAGGGCCTGTGGGTTGCTCGCAGCTGCCTCTGTCCTCAAGGGTGCAGCATAGAAATCACATCTTCCCATCTTCGCCTTACTGCCGGCGTGCCGCCGAGTGAGCCATACCTATATCGAACTATGTATAGTACTACTATGTGGCTTCTTTCTGCCGCAACTGCCCTGGCATTTGGGGCAGAGGTCTGTGCAGACGAAGCAGGGTGCCAGGTTCCTGATGCCAGCTCGACACGTGCTCTCATCCAGCACGGCAAAACCGTCCAGAAAAGCCAAGGCTCACGGCAGGGCTTGGGTCTGCAGCTCGGAAGAGGCATGAGGAGGAACGGGCGCAGGATGTGTTCCAAGAAGCAGAAGAAGATGTGGTGGCTTAGTGCTGTCTCCCTGGCGCCTCAGTGCGAACACCTGGACAGCTACCTGGACCAGTATGAGATTGCTCTCACCTCCTGGAGGGATTCCGGAAACACCCTTTTCCAGCCGCTTCTTGCATGTCATCTGCCTCGGGGCACCACGCCGGCCGTCTTGAGCACACAGACGCTGAGTCGTTTAGATCGCCTCAGAAAGCTTGGGGCCAACATCACCTTCCATAGCCTGTCCTTCATCGATCGAGCTTCGGATGCAAGCAGGCCACTTGTGCACTGTATCTCATTGAGATCCCACTTGATTCTCAAACGTACTAATTACTACTGGGTGTCACATTGCAGCCAAACCTCTCCGCAATCTAGGAATGCATGCCGTCCCAAAGATGAAGAAGCAGACGGTTGACGTGGAGTGCATAGCCGGCACGTACATGCGGCTTGACATTCCACAGATCATGGACAACGCCATGGCCTTTCAAGGCGATGCTGGCATGCAGTGCCTCAACCTCTTTAGGGTTTGGGGGCCGAAGCCTTCAGGGGTTTACCTAGCGCTGAGGGCACCACCATCCTCCCCTCCGGACTCGTTTCCCAAAGGGTCTAAGTACCCATATAGTAGGTATTTTGGGCCCCAAAGTATCTACCATATTAGTACTTAGACCCTTCGGGTTTGGGGTGTTCGAGCATGTCCGATCTAGGAAAAGTCGAGATCGGTCCTCGGTAAGAGTTCTCAGCGTATGCAGACTGCAGATCAGTCTGGCACCCAAAGGGTCTAAGTACTAATATGGTAGATACTTTGGGGCCCAAAATACCTACTATATGGGTACTTAGACCCTTTGGGGCATCTGGCTTTACTGTTTCTACTTTTGTGCAGCATAACTATTCATCATGCATCTGCTCATGTAATCTTCTTGGCGCGAGTCTTTTCTCATGCTGTTTGCGGTGATGCCTCTCATGTCCTTCTACGAGTGCAGACAATCCATAAATAAGGTACGATGCACGCCACGTCCTCTACACTGACATGGACATCATGTGGTGGCGCAAGGCCTGCGCACTTGTTTTGATTGTCACCTCTCGCTGCACCCGAATCCCCTAAATGGTTCTTGGCTTATAGGTTCGCTTGCACTCACTACGAAGCTTTTTTGGCTGAGATGAGCTCAGGAATGAAGTGCCTCCCAGACTCGCTGTATAGTGTAGTATGGTATGGTATAGCATCGATGCTGATCGTATAATATACAGTAGAAATAGTCTCGCGTATAGAGTATCGTATATCTAGTTTTCGTCTAGCGTAGATCAGTACAGTAATAGGATAGGGTGGTGGGTTTCAAGAGGGCATTACATTTGTCAGAGTCCGATTCTGTCTCCGAGATTTCTTTGACCATCAGCGAGAGTCGAAATCGATCAGGCAGGGACCTTGGCGAAACCACAACTTCAATTGAACACCCAACCAAGGCCCGTGCAACAGGAAGGCGGGCAAGCACAAAAACTCGCACGCTTGCCAGTACGACTGTGGCACACCTTGCGAGTGCACGACGCAGGCACGCGCACACGTGTGTGCACACACCCACGCACACTCCACACACACTCACTCCAAGGTCTCCACATGTACACATATCTTGTGTACTGACTGACTGACCGACTGACTGATACAATCACGGAGAAGGATTCCGGGCACACAAACATTCTTAATTACACGCGACAATATAATATATATATATATATATGTGTGTGTGTGTATGTATGTATGTATGTATGTATGTATGTATGTATGTATGTATGTATGTATGTATACACACACACATTATATATATATATATATATACTTACTTGTTCCCTCTCCCTTTTTTAAGGATCTCTCCAGGTGAGCCCTGCGGAGCTGCTGGACTCCGTCCGGTCCAGGGTCTTTGCCGCCGCCTACTCCTCGCAGCTGAAGAAGTTCGAGGGGGCCAGGACCCGGTACGAAAAGACGGGATTGCAGGGATTTTCGGAGGGCTTCAGGAGTTTTGATATGTTAAACCCTATAAACCTAAACCCTAACCCCTAAACCCCTAAACCTTAAACCCCAACCCGAACACCCATAAACTCGCAGTTGCAAGCTTGAAAGGAATGCCGGAGTTATACTTTTTGACCTGCCAATCTTCCGCATGGTCCAGATGCTCGGATGGCATGCGGGCTGGTCTGGGGGGGGGTTTAGGGACTCAAGGCTCAGGGTTTGGGGGCACAATCAGGTAGGTTAGGGCCGTTGGGGTTCAGTTTTCGGGTTCAGCGGTTTAGGATGAAGGATTTTGCGCACGTGCGCTGCAGTTGCCAAGGCATTGAGACATCGAGAACTTGCACTGCTCACTCACTGCTGCGGTCCCAAGTCTATCCTACTCTAACCCCCCAGGTACCTACTATATAGGGTACTAGAGCCCCTAGGGCCCTATATAGTAGGTACCTGGGGGGTTAGGGCTACATAGGGTTTTTGAGTCGGCTGATGGGTAACAAGGGGCTTGGGTAGGCGCTGTAAGACTACTTTTCGGGCTAAACTCAAACCAGCCCACCCGGCAAGACATATCCACGAACGTTTTCTCAACCTGCGCATTGTTTCTGCAAATTCCGGATCACGGACGAACTTGATGGAGTACATGGCTAGCGTTACATCCTCAGATCATGTGGGGGCCCTTTGCAACTCAGGCAAGCAGTCCCGCACTCCTACGCCCCCTGTCCTAAGTCTTTGAAAAGCTTTGCCCATCTCAGGCCGAGATTGCTGGCCTGGGCGTTTGCAAAGGATCCGGCGACTGGGGCCATCCAGATGAGCGACCTGCACCGAATTGTCCCTAACCCCCCAGGTACCTACTATATAGGGCCCTAGGGGCTCTAGTACCCTATATAGTAGGTACCTGGGGGGTTAGGGTGTGACATCACGAGAGAATCTCCGCGCGGTAGCTTGCTTTCTGACAGTGTGTGCCATCTATACACTTATACTTATACACACACTCTCTCTCTCTCTCTCTCTCTCTCTCTCACTCAATCTCCCGACTCATTCCCGCAAGGTGCCACCTACTAGAGATGCTACACCAAACTTAAGACACTAAGCCTTCATCCTTAACTGACCCACAGACCTGCGCATGATCTCCGGCCGAGG